CTCTTTCAACGCCCATGTCAACCACGACGGCCCGGATGAGGACAAGGAGGAGAAGCCGTGGACCGAAAGAATACCCGAAGCATGATCGGGTCCTCTTGTGTACCTAACGGCGACGAGACCGTACATCCATTCATAGATCGCTTGTGCTGCGATTTTTCTTCTTCGCCACAGCATACGTCTCATCGCTCAAGCCATCAAGCGGATCCTCGTGTACCTTCGTTTCACACCCGAGTTTGGTCTTTGGTTTTCGCCTCCTCCTCTCTTTCTCTTTGCGGGTATTCGATGCGGATTATGTCTTTGGTTGTCGTGTTGAGAGAAAGTCCACTTGGGACTTGTCGGTTTCTTGGATCTTCTCTTGTGTCTTGGTCTTCTACTTAAGCGGTCTAGCGTCGCCCAATCCACCACAGTGGTATATATATATTGCGGTCCGCTTGTTGTTCCCAGTTGCTTTGGATGATAGCTACTCTGAGAGACTTTGGGTTAGAGTTTAGGCGAGTGCCTTTGTTTTGTGACAGCACCAGTGCCATAAGTGTAGCCAAAAACCCAGTCCTTCACTCAAAGACAAAGCACATAGAAGTTCGCTTTCACTTCTTGCGTGACCACTATGAGAAAGGTGATATTGATCTGCACCACATTGATACCCAAAACCAGCTCGCAGATATCTTCACCAAACCACTTGACCAAGCCCAGTTTGCTCGCTTGCGAGGGGAGCTTGGAGTTTGTTTCCCTTTTTAGAGGAGGGGAACTTTGGTTGTGTTATTCTAGTTTTGCTTTTCTTTGTAGTTTAGCTTTTGTTTTTATTTTTACATCATACTTGCATATCATATCATCATGTATCATATTGCATCCTGAGCTTCATCCTTATAGTAGCTAGATTGACACTATGCTCTTGTTGGGGATGTTATGGATATACATGATGTGCTATTGACTTAGGCTCCTTTTGATCAATTGATGCATGTTATGAGCTAAGCTTGTTTTCCAAACTGTGAACTTGATTAAAATTTGTTAAAACATGAAATGTGTTCACCACTACTTGTGGCAACTAGCATGTGTAGAATGTGTCGAGATCTTCTTTGCTTCATATATATGCTTAGTTGCTACGGCTCATACCTTGAGTTACACACTTGCTTGAGAAACTTGAATTTGTGCTAAAACTTGAAAAACAAACTAAGTGAATTGAAAAGATCGGGATGGGTCTGTACTATCCTATGTCAGAGTATCGAGACAGCTTCAAATTGCACTTATTGGTGAACTTGAGCTCTGTAATGGATACCGAGATCATTGTCTTAAGCTTCTGATTGCCTTTGGCATAGGCTTGACATGGTCGCTAAGTTAGGTTTTGATGGTACAGATAACCTCCCGCACACACTCCCGCACACACTTGTCTGACAAACTTGGGTAATAAGTTGCATGACTCCTATAAATTTCAATTGGTATCTAAAATCTGATCAAACCACAAGTTTGTTTCATGACATGATGTGTGAACTTTGTTTGGGGTAGTTCACTTTGCATACATGTGTAGCACAAGGTCAATCTCCTGTCTACTTTTGCTATGTGCTCCTTTGGTGGTGAACCCTCTTTTAAAATTGCTCAAACTTGATCAAAATTGCTTAAATGCCATATTTCGTCTCATTTGGTCACTTTGAGCATTTGCTAGCACTTGTATGTGTTGCTATATATACATGACAAAGATCAACTAGAGCCTCTTTTCAATCTACTTACTATAATCTTGAAGCTTCACGCATTCGTGCATTTCTCGCATTCATAGCATGATTTGAGGGGAGATGCAATCTTTGGGCTCTAGCTTGATAAGTGCATGTGTCAACAAGGGGGAGAAGTTTTCCACACTCACAATGACACAAGGGGAAGAAACTTCCAATTTCAAACTTCCAATTTCACCTAAAGTTGAGAGATATGCATTCATTTGAGAGAGATTGCACTTGTTGTGGGGAGTTGCATTTGAGGTGTTTTGCTAGATGTGTTGAGCCTTTGCCTCTTCCGGAGGGGGTCTAGCAGCTTTTTCGGTTTTTCGAGAGCTTTGCTAGTGGTGTTGAGCCCATTGCCTCTTCTTGAGGGCTAGCTTTGTTTTACTTGGTTGCGTCGAGCCGTTGCCCATGTCTTTGGGGACCAAGTTTTGCTCATTTTCAAATGACCCGGTTCTTGGCTTTTCTTTGGCTTTTGGTCATTTGGGTGAGTTCTTTCTTTTCTCTTCTTCTTTTTCTTTTGCTCAAGTTGTTCGTGTATTGGTGTTGACAATGCACTCATCAAGGGGGAGATTGCGAACACAAGGTTGACAAGTACCCTTGTGTGTTCGTTTTGTGATGAGTGATTGTCAATGTGATCCACAAGTAGGTTGAGTGGTGACTAACCCTACCATGGCGAAAGCTATGTGTGCGACATGTCTTTTGGCTTGTGTTGTGCAGTGTGGAGCTTTGGATGCGGTGGTCGATGGCGAGGTGAAGGTCAAGGAGGACGTCTTGCGTCTTGATGAGACCGGGAGCGCGGTGAAGGACGGACGTGAGGCTTGGACCGAGGGACCCAGAGGTCGGGTGACTAGCATGGTGGTCGACACTTGGGACATCGACAAGTGCAAGAAGACATGGAGTGACGGTGTTGACCGGTCAAGACGGCGGACGCGTGAGTCGAGCGAGGCTCGGGAGGACTTGGCGGGCCGGCCGGTCGAGGGTGACAGCGGTGACATCGCGTCGGATGGCGGGAACGCAGCGTGGAGATACGCCACCATGACGGACAGTTTCTGGGTTTGGGCCTCAAAACCCGGGCGGAGGTTCCGAGGAGGGACGGACGGCACGTGGCGGCATCGGGGAGTTCGCGTCGAGGCGAAGCTACCGGTGAGAAGGCGCGGTGGCCGTCGGATCAAGATTACACCAGGTTGGACAACAACGCCCTTGGGCTTAGCGGTTCAACTCATTTGTATCCAGGGGCAAAGCTGGGAATGTGTAATAGCCCTGTTAAATAGGATGAGGGAGCCCCCATCTCCCTCACCTTCTCCAGTTTTCATTTTCTCCTTTAGGGTTTCTTCCTCTAGTTTGCTTCCATGTATGAGAGAGGTCCACAACTCAAATTGTGACTTGGTTTTCAAGGAATCGGTGGGTCAGTAACCACCGTATGTCCTCCGGGATTCATGATTTAGTTGTGTTCTTGATGTGATTTTGGTGTTCTTCACGAGCTCCTTTTGTCCCTTCTTATTTTCCCTCTCGCTTCTTCGCTTGTGGGATGGTTTTGGTTCGTTCTTGTTGCCTTGGATCGATCAATGACATGAGTAGAAGCTTTCCACCGAAGGAAATCCACTAATTCCTCACGAGATCGCAGATCCGAGCAATTTAAGTTCTTGACCTATTTCTTTGGGGATTCTTCAATTCCTTCGATTCACGGAGTTAGAGTTTGTTTCGGGCCATGATCCTTTAGAGGTTGCCTTTCTACTCGCTTGAACCCTTGTGCAAAGTTTCAAGTCATTTGGAGTTGATTTGATCAAGTTATGGCTTGATTTGATTTTTCGAGAAATCGCTCGTTCATACCGGGACGTGTCCGATATGATAATCTGGACGTGTCCGATATTTCTCACTTTGGAGTTTTGAGCTGAAATTTGGTGGAGACCTTCCTTGGTGTCTAAAGAGCTATGGTTAAAATTTCATGATTTTTGGACACCATTTGATGTGGTTTTGGATTTTTCTCTTTTGGTCAGACTTCTTGCTTGAAAATACCGGACGTGTCCGAGATCATACCGGACGTGTCCGAAAATACGGACGTGTCCGATATAATACCGGACGACGTGTCCGATATTTGCAGGAGCAATGCTGTTTTTTTGGGAGTTTGCTCTGCTTTGGGCTTCGATCTTTGTTCCGTTTGCTCTGTGGTGACCCGTTGTGTTCTGAGGGAGTATCCACCCTTCTTTAGGGTCGTGGTCATCAAGTCTTTCGTGAATGCTTTTTGGGGATTGATGTTGGGACAGTGGTTGAAGATTTCGGAAGAAATTTGAGGCTCCCATTCACCCCCCCCTCTGGTCGCCGTTTCCGGTCCTTCACAAGTGAATGATCTCTGGCTCTGACAGCACCATGTTCGGTGAGCTTCCTGACTCTCGCTGGACCAAACGCCTACACACGATTTGGACACTGCTGGTGGAGCCTTCCATTTTTGTCATTATGGTTGCCAGTTGCCGCTCCAGGCTGCTGAGTAGACAGCTTATAATCTAAGACGCCCACTTAAGTGTGCCCAACAGAACGCTGCCTTATTGCCGTATCTGATACTCTGGTAGTGGTACGCAAAGCATGGCCTGCTACTTACTTTTCTGAAAATGGAAGCAATCACCATTGTTAGTTTGGTTCTCTTCAAACGAGAAGATTCCAGAGACATAATGCATTATTTTTTTTCTACTACACATTGACAGATAAATCCCAACATATTTGATGTCCCAGATTTCCCATGAAATCCCCATCCTTTTCCATGAAGGTCTAACGGAGCAGTATCGCTATTTTATTAATATAGGTTATGAGCTACTGTAGTTTTGCATAATATAATGGAAATAAAGATTAAATACCAAGAAACTATACAAACACAGTAATCAACGGATACACGAAAAGGACAAAGAAAAATAAACACAGTGATTGTGGAATAGGCTAAAGCTAGAGGCCAAAAAAAAGAGCAGCTAATAACAGCCCCCGTGTCCAAAAAAAACTACTGAGATAGCAAACACACCTTACACTTGACGACTGTTGGCAGCCGGCCTCCCTGCACAGGTGGCAGCAGCTTCAACCACACACACACTGGTTATAGGCTAGAGGAGGAAGAAGAGGGGCGAGAACAGAGCACACACGGCCAAGTGCAGCAACTGAATTGTCTTCTCTCTATTCCATTCCATAGAGTATATACAACTATGAGTAGTAGCTGAACAACTACAAGGTAAACTAGTACCATGGCTGAGATCGACCTCAACTACTCTACATGGCTTACATCAGCCTTGACTTAGTGGCCTATTACCATACCAGCTGCAGTAGAGAGGGGAGAAGAAAAGGATAGCAAGGAATTGACATATTGCCAACTTCCTGCAGCAAAATACAAGAGCCCAGCAGCAGATTATCTTACAACAGCCTACTCAAACAACCTCAAATCAAAAAGGGCGTACCCAATGCAGAGAGCTCCCGCACTGTGCGGGGTTTGGGGAAGGGTATTAGCGGCAAGTCTTACCCTCGCTGCAATGCGAGGAGACCGTGACTCAAACTCGGGACCTTCCGGTCGCAGGCAGTAAGACTCTACCGCTTGCACCAGGCCCGCCCTTCTAAACAACCTCAAATCAAATGAAAAACAAAAGTTTGAAGTTTGCTTATGCTGATATGCTCCAGTAAAAAGGTTATCAACTTCCATAAATGATTGAACAAAATTACCAGAGCTGTCCTTCATTCGTGCAATTCAGAGGTTGGCCAGCTGCTCCGAGGCAACAGAGGTGGTAGACTGGTTCTGAAATTGCAATGACCATGATGAATCACATGAGTGCAGAATCAGTAAAAGAAGTTCACGCACCAGTCTATCCATGAGCAAAGACAGCAAACAAATATGAAAAGCGGCAGGCAGCTGGGAGATTTGGTGAGCCAAAACACGAGAGGAGGCAGGGGGCGTAAGCGGACGGACAGGTGTAGTACGGATGGACCTGACGGCGACGGCGACTCGAAGCAGGCGGACAGGTGCGCTGCAGATGGCCGACAGTAGCGGGCGGCAGGTGCGGACAGCCGGCAGTGACAGGGACTCGAGGAGGCGGACACTTCAATAGAGGAGCACCCAAGCGGAGATGCAGGGCCGCCGCATCTGCTGCTCGTTCGCGGACGGACGGCCGACGGGGGCAGAGACTCGAGGCGGACGAGCAGGTGTGAACGGCCGATGGCAGCAGGGGCGGAGATACAGGAACGGCTCCACAGCAGGTGCGGACGGCCAAGCGGAGATGCAGGGGCGGCTGGCCGGTGGACTCGAGCAGAGGAGCAGACAAGCGGAGCTCGAGGTCCGCCCGCCGCCTTCTCTCTTCCTCTCCCCTCGCCCGCACTCGCGGTAAATGCCTCGGGCGGTAGATTTCCCGCGCAAACAGCACTATATGGGTCAGTTCCCGCCCTTTTGCTTTTGGCGCGGACGCGCGGTCGATTCCCGCGGGGCCGCAGTCATTTTGGCGCACTTCCCCTACGAATTCGCGTCCTGCGTCCGCGGCAGGGCTGTAGGCGTCCGCCCGACGCCATTCTACGCCTAGGTGACGCCTAATTCAATATGGCGGACGCCATACGAGTGCAGGTCGTGGCGCCCCCGACGCCCAGCGCCTCTATCAGGCCTAGCCGACGCCTAGGCGACGCCTCATAAACCAAAGAACAGTGTCAAATGATAATAGTATGCAAATTTTTGTATTACCGTGCCAAATTGTTTGTGATCGTGCTTGAAGGCAGTATTGGAAATGACATCTTTAATTTGTATGTAGCAATGGAAGGTCCCCTGTTAAAAGAACAATCAAATAAAGAGAAATCAGTGCATCAGACGCCAATATTATCCTCAAGTTAGTAAGAACTTGAAACATAGATTGCCAAGATTGAGTCCCTTTCGAGAAAAGAAAGGGCACAATGGTTCAGTCCAATGCCTCTACTACTTAGCACGAGACTACAAGAGGTAAAATGACCTCTACTATCTTCTTTAACATCTTGCTAAGTGAGATAAAATACCACAGAATCAAATCAAGAACAGATGTAAAAGAACCTGGGAAAAAAATCCAATTCAGAAAATTGTAGCTCAAAGCCTCAAATAACTTCCATCTAGGAAATTATACAGCATATCAAATTTGCTGTACAGAAGTACATCCCAGATATAGGTAGTTCAAACCTCAAAAGCAAGCACGTGTAAACAAATATCTCTAATTTCTAAGCATGTAGACAAAGTACCAGCAAGTAGCATGACAGCAAAAAAAAAAAACATATTACCTCTTCCATGATGCAAAGAACACAAGTTGTTAAGATATTTGCCTAAAATGAAAGCCATGATCCCAAAACAACCTGTTGGATTCCAGCTTTACTGTTACCCACCAAAAGCTTCATTGCATTTCACTTCCTCACTACTAGAGAAGTCAGTATCTGTCATGTCATCAGACAAGCCTCCTTGCAGACTGCGGTTTAAGCAATAATCTTGTTCGACTGGACATATGTCATATTGTGACTCCAGTAAGGAATGACTTGGAATCATATTTAGCTCCATCGCACTCATTAATGATTTAACCTTAGTTAGTTCTGGCCAGCGTTTTGCTGATATATACATGTTCGCAATCAATTTGTAGTGACCCGGGTTATTTGTCCTCATTGCCAGCAGCCTCTTTGCAGCTCGATCCCCAATTTCTGTTTTGCCATGGATTCTGCAAGCCTCGATTAGAGTTGCCAACATTGCGGCAGTTGGCTGGAGTGGCATCTTGTTAATTATTTCCTCAGCCATACTCAGCAAACCCTCATGGCAGTACAAATCAACCATGCGAGAAAAATGCTCCACCCTTGGTGCAATGCAAAACACATCAAACATCTCAGCAAATCGTAGCTGCCCTTGAGTTACCAGGCCAGAGTGGCTGCAGGTTGAAAGAACAGCAACCATAGTTACATGGTCCACCTTGATATTGTTGGCTATCATTTCATCAAAGAGCTTCAGTGATACATGCCCTTCTCTTTGCATTCCATAGCCCAAAATCAATGAAGTATATGCGTGCCTGTCTTGACATTGCATCTGATCAAACACTCTCTGGGCAGCTGCCATCTGTCTAGACTTTGAGCACATATCGACAAGTGAGTTCTGCAGTATGTTAGAGGCACCGAGTCCATGCTTGAAAATGTAGCAGTGCATCTCCCTTCCGTGACAGAGGTGTCCAAAACATGCAATAAGTGAAAGCATAGTTAAGACAGTAACATCATTTGGAAAGACAGAGGAATAAATTCTCTCTGAAAAGCAAAATAGCTTCCTCAACCTGGTCCATGAATGCAAATCCTGCTAGCAATGAATTCCATGTTACTATGCTCTGAGTTGAGCATGTTCTGAACAGGCAATATGCAGAGCTCATCATCTGGCATCTGGAGTACATTGTGATCAATGAACTCTCCACGCGCTCAAGCCTATCAAAGCATAGACGAATAGACACAGCATGCAACTCCTTGCCAATCCTCAGATACCCACTCCTAGCACATGCCCTGAGGCCAATCACAACAGTCACAGAATCCAGCCCCGGACCATGGCAACTCCTCATCTGCGACACCAACCTCATCACCTCGCCGTCGTTTCCCGCCTTCAAATTTCCTGCCGCAACCGCATTCCAGGTGACAATGTTCGCCCCAGGAACCCACTGCAGCAGATCAAACGCCTCGCCCCACATACCAGCCAACGCGTACCCAGACACCATGGCGTTCCAGCTGACAACATCACGCGCAGGCATTCCATCAAACACCCTGCGCGCGTCGTCCATCTCCCCGCACTTGGCATACATCCCCACCATAGCGTCCCAGACATACATGTCCAGACCATATCCCCACGACCGAACGCGCTGCTCAATCTCCCGGCCAACGGAGGCATCCCGTAGCTCGCCGCAAGCGCGCAGAACCGACGGGTACGTGAACCTGTCGGCGGCCACGCCCAGCGCCAGCATCCTGCGGTACGCGAGGACCACGTCGTACCAAAGCCCACGGTCCGCATACCCCCAGATGAGCAGGTTCCACGGGAACGCCCGCGCCTTTCCGGCCGCCCGCTCGACGGCGGCTCGCGTGGCGGGGAGGTCGCCCAGCGCGATGTAGAAGGTGGCGAGCCTGGGGAGCACCGAGGGGTGCGCGCCGAGGCCGACGGGCGCGCTGGGACGTGCAGGAGCGTATGAGGGATGAGAGCGACGCGGGTGAGGAGGAGGAGGAGGAGGCAGCGGGTGGCGGCGCCTGCGACGGGGACGGGTCCTGAGCGGGGGCGGCATTAAGCCAAACGGGTGGCGGCAGCGGCGAATGCGGAGGAGGTGATTGTTGGACAGCGCGCCGCGAGGAGGCGGCCGTGGGCGCATCAAATGGGCGGCGCCTCCGCCGCCTTCGTGGCATCACACCTCGCCGCCGGCGGAGAGGGAGGCGGGCGACCGGAGAATTGGGAGAGAGGGAGGGAGGCAGGGCTCTGGCGTGTGGGGCTCTCGGCGCGCCAAGACGCCTTGGTGGGCCCGCCAAGTCGGTGGCACTCCAGGGCTGTGGGGGCGGCTCATGCCAGGCAACGAGGCTGGCCGTTTGAGCAGGTTCTTGGGCTTGGGCCATTACGGACATGCTTTCAGTTCTGCTTGAGAAATCTTTGATTTTTATTTGTTTTTATACAAAAATAATCGTAGGATTAACTAATGTATAAATAGTTTTTTTTTAAATTATACGGTACAAAGTAGACGCCCACGACACGCACGTACACTCACCTCTATGAACACACGTAGACAAACCCTACCCCTATGAGCACCTTCGAAGGACTGAGCCGGCAGATCTCGACATTCACGAAGTCACCATAGGCGCCTCGCTGTCAGGGCCTTTTCGGTTGATATTAAAGCCGGCTGAAGCTGTTTTGTTATGAGAGAAAAATACTGTAGATTCTAGCTGATAAGCCGGTTGATAAGTTCAAGCGAACATGCCCTACCACTGAAAGCATAGCGCCGGTAAATCCTAGAATAAAACCAGAAAAATGCGAGCACTCATGCCAAGTCAAGGACTTTGGATCCGGGTGAACAGATTCCACCACAAGAAACCTAACCAATAAATCTATGATCAGTTCGTTACGGAGAAAAACCCAGCTTTTATAGAAAGCTTTAAGGTCTTACAGCATTGAGAAACAAAACTGTCAACCCATCTCACTGAAACAACTAGATAGAAACCTATAGCCACCAGATAACGAAATCCAAAACCAGATAACGCCTTCCACTTCCCTACCCTCCGACGCCAGAAGTCGTTCAGCCAAGTCTTCATAGCTTTGAGCTTTTCATCCAAGAACTCGGCATCTTGTTCCCTCAAAAGAATTCTCCATTTCTGCAGAAATTTGAAGATTTTGAGGACAAATAGTTTTTCTTGAATTTTTTTGAAGACAAATAGCTTTTTTTGAATGCACAAAATAATATCCAACACCAAACCATATTTTCTCCAACCAAAGGGCAACAATACGATATTTTACTTGTTGAAATGGTGAAAATATGTTTTTGGCAAATCATATGGCGCAAATTTTTTTAAGAAAAAAACATATAGTTTAAGCGTACAATTCCTTCTTCTTGAGATAATTAGCCCATCTACGGGTGACTTTTAAGGAAATTATACCTTTCTCATATTATGTCAAATGAAACTATCTTTATATATAATTAACTTGATGTGATTTGCAGCTTTATAGCTGACAAATTCTAATCTAAAGTTGTTTACCTGAAAGATTGTTACACAGTTCAAATCTAAACCCAACAGAGACGGAATATGGCTGAGCAAAAGCTTCTCAGCAATAACCAATAAGGAACGGTTGAGATCACTGAGCTTCGAGTCCATTTGATCTTTTCTAGAGCTACACCCAATGTATAAACGAGCACAACGTGTATGCACAAAATTACAACCTACATGTGCTTCAAGGGCATGCAAAATTGCCATGCAAAATGGCGACGAGTCAGCACAACAATAAGAACAAAATCAGGTGCTAGGAACTCGCTAAACCTGTCGCAAACCAGAAAAGACACCAAGACAAAGAAGCCCACCGAGCAGAAGAAACAGCGACTTGGGGATGGACACAATATCTAGGTTGGAAGAGACCGCCGACGGCAACCGAGTCGGCAGGGTTCATTGTGCCTCCACCCACATTGTCCTCTAGTCTAGCTCTGGGAGATTAAAGGACGATATGGGCTGGATAACTCAGGGACGTTTTTGGTTTAACCCTTTCTCCATCGTCTCTCTCGTAGTCTCAATCGTAGCCATCTAGCCGAGTAGCGAGTAGGGAACAGGTTCCACCATCGCCCCTGCTCGGCGACCGATGCGGTTTGGGTCGCTCCCTGTCAGATTCAAATCCAATTTGAATTCAGAACCAAACCAAACCAATATATACTCCCTTATAGTCCTAAAATACAAAACAATTTTAGGATCAAATAAGGAGTCGGACAAAAGACTAATTTGCTCCTCACTAATTAGTTAGTTTGGTTGTCAACTTAGTTTAATTTTTTAGTAATACATAATTTAAAAAGACGTGCATAGGTATCATTGATTTTGCCTATCAGTTATAGGAGTCATCTTACGCAAGATGATGTTGAAAAGGAATATATGGATATGGTTTAGAAGACAACCACGCACAAATGAAATTGAGCAATCTAGAATAACTTATAATTTAGGACCTTTTGGTACTTAGGGCATATTTGATGCACCCAACTAAAATTTAGCTAGCTAAAATTTTAAAACAAAATTTTAGTCAGCTAAAAATTCTACCAGCTAAACTTTAGCTAGGGTGTTTGAATCCTCTAGCTAACAGACTCAGCTAAATTTTAGCTAGGTTGATATAGCTAAACTCAGCTAAACTTTAGTTTGTCTTCTAGTTAGGCCGTTTCAATCTCTATCAGCTAAATTTAGTCAGTTAAAGTTTAGTTGGTGCATATTTTAGGACTGATGGAGTATTATATGGAGAGAGATAAAGGGCTTGTTCGCTGGTTGGTGCTGGTGCTGGTTTGGGCTGGCTGATGCTGGTTTTTTGTGAGAGGAAAATACTGGAAAAAAAAAACGAACAGGCTGAAAGAGATGACTAGACGGGAGAGTAGAAATCTCAGGGTGGGAAAACGGAAGTGATTCTTTCTGAATCTCTAAGGAGATCGATACCGGCGTCCACTCCTACCATGGGGTTGCTAGGGCTGCAGCGGCTCATGACCCTGAAGCGCGAGAAGCCGCGGCGTCACTGGCAAGTACTAACCCGTAGTAAGCTTCAACTCCCTCGCCCTCAGTCCTCTCATTCGTTTTCTTTCGTTCGTAAAAAAGTGATCTTTTTTAAGACAAAAAAGATCTAAAATTCAACGGGGCTGAGTTGGAGCTGTCTGACCTGATTTTTGGTGTTGCTGTTGCTGCTGCTGGTGTCTTTCTTAGCTCCGGCGACCACGAGTTAGGGTTCAGTGTGGTGGGAATTCTTCGCCGGGCAGCTAGAGCTCCCAGCCTTAATGGGATGGCGGTTAAAATTGCTCGAGTGAGCTATATACAGATCCTTCTTCAATCTGTGTTTTCCCTGCCGATTCGTTTAGGCCAATGTCAGACGGATATCGAATTTTATTTTGTTTGTGGACTTCTGCCACTTAGATGATTTATTTAGGTTTTCAAAGACTGTTTCTTTTTTGAGCTCACGCTTTAGCCCTGTCCGTTCAGTTCGTATAACGGTATAAGTTGGGATTTGGAAGGAGACTTGAAGAGATTGTTGCATTTTCAGCTCTTCTATCTATGTCATCTACTTTCATCAGAACTTCAGAAGGATCTTATGCAACCAAACACCGGCAAATTGTACTGGACAAGTCTAGATACGGACTAATACAAGCAATTAACCAGGTCCTATATATCATAACTAATACATGCTCCTTGGTTTGCAGATGGACAAGTTGCTACGGTGAATAAGAGAATCAGGCGCTCTCAACGTGTTGGCGATGGTCGTGCCCAAAATGGCGATGCATTTGATTCAACACCATACCTTCCTGAGGTACGACCGTGACTGCTTTAACCACCCACACTAATTCATTTACTTCACAAGACTATGCTAGCTGAATACTTCATATGTTTTAAATTGTAAGTCGTTTTGGCTTTCGTAGATACATAGTTTTTACTGTGTATGTAGATTTCAGGTATATCTAGGTGCATAACAAAATTTATGTATCTAAAAAGCCAAAATTTAGGATGAAGGGAATATTTATTTATAGATAAATACGATATTAGTTCTCTTTATTGCGAGTATGTAAATCTATTTGTCAGTCCTGCACTCTTAGTGAATGAATAGCTAGTTACTCGTGCATGCAGGACATCTGGTGATATATACATTCCTTAATGCCAATGCGTGATGCTGCTCGTGCCGCATGCCTTTCTCGCGCCTTTCTACGTTCCTGGAGATGTCGTCCTAGCCTCACCTTGAATTTTTTTGAAGGTCATCCTCACCTTGAATTGGCCAACGCTCTGCTCAGAGGAGCATGGAAGAAACTTCAGATACAAGATTGACATGATTATGAGAAAATACTCGGGCCCTGGCTTGAAGATACTCAACCTTAATTTACATAATAAGAAAAGCACCTTACCTTATATCAACAGTTGGCTCCAGATTGCTCTTAAACCAGGGATCTAAGAGCTCACTCTTTCGTTGTATAAAAAGTATAACTTCCCATGCTCACTTTTATCTGATGGGGTTAGAAACTCAATTCAGCAAATTCAACTTAATTTTTGTGTCTTCGGTCCCACGGTTGAACTTGGTCCCCTGAGAAGCCTAACAAGTCTGCATCTGCGCTGTGTGCATATTACAGAGGATGAATTGGGGTCCCTTCTTGCCAAGTCCCTTTCTTTGCAGCATTTGTACCTTGATGGTTGCAATGAGATAATTATCCTGAAGATACCTTGTGTACTGCATAAGCTCAGCAGACTGGTTGTTCATTCCGAGAGGCCGAGAGTGATAGAGAGCAAAGCTCCAAATCTGTGCAGTATTGCCCTCAATGTAGGAGACATAAAGCTCTCACTTGGAGAAGCAATGCAATTGAAGGACATGTGGATGCGTTGTTTGAGTGTTGTCTCTTATGCTCGTGCCGAGCTGACATCCATCGTGCCAAGTGTTGAGACTCTTGATATAAGAACTAATGGAGAGGTATGATCTGAAACTTGTAGGCGCGTCGTCGAGTAGAGGTATATATACACACACCACAGGACAGGATCACAGGAGTCATACCTTGTTTATTTATCTGAGGCATGCCATGTTTGTTGTGCAGGC